ATATCAAAAGATCTGGGTGTAGTGGCACTCACCTTTAATTCCAGCACTTGGGAGGTAGAGGCAAGAGGACCTCTGTGAATTCAATACCAGCCTGGTCTACAAAGTGAGTTCTAGGGCAGCCAGGACTATATAGTAAGACCTGTCTCAAAAATAATTCTAAATACCTTCTCAGCATGAATAATTCACCTAGTTTGCATATGTGTATGTGGAAAGAATTTCATAAACCACAGACACTTTGTCTATTTTAGTGATTATTCATAACCTGACCTAAAACACCAATCTAGAAACCATCATTCTATGCACCCCCCCCCCAGTACACACAGTGGAGACCTAACCTCTGTCTTTGTATCTTCCCCTTGCACTTGTCCGGTTCAGTTCTCCAGGCCACTCTGGCAGAGATGGTAGTGGGATCTTGCTCTGGCCTCTCCTTGGCTACCTGGTCCTTGTTATCCCCATCCAGTGAATTCAAGCAAGACACAGAGCATAACATAGAAGATGGGCAAAGTGTGTTCCAGTGTGACACTAGACACTTCTAAGGATGAGAGTGGGAAGTAACCAGAGGGACCCCTTCAAGGGGTGAGACTGGGCCATGGCCAGAGAGACAATCATGTAGGGCACACTCTCAGTGGGTAAGAGTGGACAGTTGTAGTGATATTTCATTTGTGTTTTAATAAATAAGGCTTGCCTAAAGATCAGAACAAAACAGCCGTGCTAGTCAGCCATACAGGTGAGGCAGTGGTGGAGCACACCTTTAATCCCAGCACTAAAGAGGAATATAAGGTGGGATGAGACAGGAACTTACTCTCTTTCAATCTGAAGATTTCATAGAGGTAAGAGTTCTCTAGTGGCTTGGTTGCTTTGCTTTTCTGATCTTCAGCTTGAACCCCAATATCTGTCTCTGGGTTTTTATTATTCATCCTACATTTGGAGTCCAACTTTTGGGGTGTGAATTCAGGAAGAGGTCATTTGCTTGCGACTTTTTAGCCACCAGCACAGGCCAGAGCTGCGTGTGGGGATCCAGCCCCAACCAGCGAGATTTTCTTTTCTCCCTCCCTCCCCAAGCCTCTGGACAAATTCGGTAATTTTCCTGTTGCAGTCTCTCTGAAACAGTTTCCAGCTACCATGCAAACTCCAGAAGCACCTGGGCTCCAAATGACCTGCCCTACGCATGCTTTTTCAGAACAATCCCCTGTACATTTATTCAGACAGGCTCTCTCTCTCTCTCTCTCTCTCTCTCTCTCTCTCTCTCTCTCTCTCCCCCATGGGTAGCAGGCTCTCCCTGAACCCCCTTTATGGGATGCTTCTTTGAAATCCAGCCAGGCCTTTACTGTTCTACACAGCAGTAGTAACTCTTACATCTTCACTAACATCATCAGCAGATTTGGTGAGACAGTTGGGAATTCTTAGAGGGACAAATTAATTAAAAGAGAGAGTGTTTTTCCCACACTAAAAAAGGGAAGCACCATTACAATGGAGGGATTTGGGTCTCTGTATAATATGTTAGATAGTTTTAAAATAGAATGGTATAGGAAGTCCTTCTGTATATGTGTTGCTTTTATTGGTTAATGAATAAATCTGTTTGGCCAGTGACTTAGCAGAATAGAGCCAGGTGGGAAAACTACACTGAATGCTGGAAGAAAGAAGGTGGAGTTAGTGAGATGTCATGTATCTGCCAGGGGGAAACTAATGCCTGTTGTAAGAAACTGTACTGCTCTGGATAATAGAACAGCCATAGAAGAGGGAACAAAAAATCCGGGAGAAACCATAAACCATAAAGTATTTTGACAAATTTCTATAAACAAACAAAGACCAAAATTAAAAATATGAATAAATGATGTCAATGAAGGTCATGTAGACACAGGTGCAGATATCACAATAATTGCACCAGAATCTTGGCATCCAAATTGGCCTCTTCAGGAGGTAAATGTTCAGTTTTTAGAGAAACCACAGGCTTTAGAACTACTGGTACAGGAGCAACTTGATGCTAGGCATATTGAAGAATCAACCAGCTCTTGGAATTCTCCTGTATTTGTTAAAAAGAAATCTGGAAAGTGGAGAATGGTAACAGATCTAAAAGCTATTAATAAGGTGATTCAGCCAGTGAGCTCTCTACAGTCTGGAATTCCTTTGCCCACCCTATTGCCTAAAGGATGACCTCTTATAGTATTGATTTTAAAGACTGTTTCTTCAGTATATGAAAAGGACAGAGAAAATTTTGCCTTTCACAGAGTCTACTTATAATAGTTCTCAGGCTGCTAAGAGATATCAATGGAAGAGTCTCCCACAGGGAATATTAAATAACCCCACCCTGTACAATATTTTGTAAGTCAGCCATTGGAAATTATGTGTAAGTAATTTCCTGAATCTATAGTTTACCATTACATGGATGACATTTTGCTATCTGATTCAAATGTAGATACTTTAGAAAGAATATTTGAGGTAGTAAAGAAAATTTTGCCTTGTTGGGGATTACAAATTCCTCCTGAAAAAAATACAAGGAGGAAATCCTATTAATTATTTAAGTTATAAAATTGGATTACGAAAAATTAGTTCCCAAAAGGTACAAATTAAGAGAGATCAATTGCCGACTCTTAATGACTTCCAAAGATTGCTAGGAGACATTTCTACAGTGCACTATTGGGATAGGGCCTGATGACCTGATTAATTTAAACAAAACCTTAGATGGTGAGAAGAATTTAAATAGTTCTAAATAAGAAATTATCAGCTGAAACTGAGAGAGATTTGGATATGATTGAAGAGAAATTACAGAAGGCACATGTGGATCGTGTGACTCTGAATCTTAACTGCATTCTGGTCATATTACCCTCCAAACATTTCCCTATAGGAATTTTAATGCAGAAGGAAGATATTATCTTAGAATGGATTTTTATCACATAAACTGAGTAAAAAATTTAAAAAAATTATGTAGGAAAGTTCTTTGAGTTAATTCTAAAAAAAATGAGACTTTATCAATTAGCAGGAATAAACCCAGCAGAAATTATAGTACCTTTTAATGATGATGAAATTGACAAATTATGGAAAGCTAGTGAACCCTGGAAAAGAGCTTGCAGTAATTATTTTTGGGAGAGATTAACAATAAATATCCCAAAAGCAAGAGAAATTCAACTTATAAAGAGAACTAACTGGATCTTTACTTACATTGTATGGGACATACCAATAACTGGAGTCCCTCCATTCTATACTGATGTAAATAAATCAGGAAAGGCAGATTAGAAATCAGAAAATTTAGGTAAAGTGTATCAAAGACCTTATGATTCTATCCAAAAGTCAGAATTATATGCTGTTCTCATGGTGCTAAGGGATTTTAAAGAACCTCTCAACATAGTTACCAATTTACAATATGCACAAAGAGTTGTTTTGCATATTGAACTACTGAATTTATACAAGATGATACAGAATTGGCTTTATTATTTATTCAGTTATAAGATATAATCAGGAATAGGAATCATCCCATATACCATAGTACACATCCGATCCCATATGGGTCTGACAGGCCCTATAGCACAAAGTAATACAGAAATCAATTATTGATTAGAAATGTGCTAAAGGCCTCAGAATTTCATAAAAATACCATGTCAATAGTGAAAAATTTTAAAAAGACTTCTCCATCAGGTATCAACAAGCCAGTAAAATTATAGGGAAATGTCCTACTTGTTCTTAATACAACCAAACACCACTACCTGTAACCAAAAGGTACTCAAAGGAATGAAATCGGGCAGATGGATGTGTTCTGTTTTGTAGAATTTGGAAAACTAAAATATGTACAACACACCATTGACCCTATTCAGATTTTCAATGGGCAACTGCACACTAGTCAGCCATAGAGGCCGGGCAATGGTTATACATGCCTTTAATCCTAGCACTAGGAAGGTCTGAAAGTTTCATAGAGGCAAGAGCTCCCTAGTAGCCTGGCTGCTCTGCTTCTCTGGTCTTCAGCTTGAACCCCCACATCTGTCCCTGGGTTTTTATTTTCACTCTACAGACAGTGACATGCGGATCATTGTGCCAATCCAAAAGAGTGTTTTCCTGTCCGAGTGATTGATATGGTAACTATAAAGGGAGGGGATAGTAGTCTGTCATGAGTCTACCCAAGCAAGAGGTAGACTTCATGTTTCTTTTGATCAGTTCTTTGTTTTACAGGCTAGAGATTATGAGGAGCGCTCTTCTGCTGGTGATTGTCAAACCTACCGTCCAGCTACCTCACGGGTGATGCTAGATCCCCTGGAACCTAGCCCCTCCCCAGATCTCAGCCCTGTACCTGAAGGCTCCTGCCTCTGTCCCCTCTTCTAGGCACATGGCTTAGTGTGGTTGATAATTGGGGCTTCCCCATGCTCTGTTAGACCACTGTCTGCCTCAGGGCTTTGCCCTTGTAGTCACCTAGTGTTGGGGCCTCACAAAGGACAGTTTCTTCTCTTCAGCCCTGCCTACATGCCTTGATCTTGGCAGCATTCCTGACCATTTTGCATCCACTTCCCCAACTGCCAGATGCCAGTTTGCAGAGAAGCTGAGCCCTCTCTTGCCTGCTTGTCTGGCACCCACTGTGCGCCCTGCACTGTCTATCCAACTCCTGGCTGCCCCGCACCTACCTGCAACCTTTCCCCACCTCAGGTAAATCCCAGTGCTTAGCCTCATCCTGGGCGTGATTATTCCAAGCTGTTGGTTTAACTTTAGGATTTTGAAATTTATCAGTACTCTTGGAATTAAAATATGTCAATATTTAAAAGTATTATACTGATTCTGTGTAATCTTCCTGTGCATATTTGAATTAAATCTGAATATATTTACGGGTATAAGTACCTGATATCTGTACCTAGCAGAGATACTGAATAAATTTCGCTTATCCTAACTTTTAAATATGGCAGCTAGAACTCTGTCGGGAATTTGTATTAGATAAGTGCTTTTCATAAAAGTCACTTTACAGAGTTTTTGTTTAAACACAGCCCAAGTGTTCTCACTCTATGAGCTAGTCTTTTTTTTTAAGACAAAACCCAACCTGTTTATTGAAATGTAATTTATACACAAGTTACACACTCTTCCCTCTGCCACTCAGAACTTCTCGGGAAACGTCTCCATTTCTTCCTTGATCCTGTTTTCTACAAATAACGTGAAGTTGCTGTCTGTGTTGGAGAGGTTGTAGTTGACAAACACCTGTTTACTGGTCTTCCTGGCTAAGCACTGGGCAAGGCCAGAGGAGGTCGCGTCAGAAGTGTCTCCGAAAAGGGAGGTGCACACAGGGATGGGGTCGTGGCGGCTGCACATGGCCACTGCGTGGTTTCGTAGATGCGGCGTTGCCCCCACCCACAGGAAGAGCGAGTCTGTCAGCCGCATGACGTGGAAGTGGATGAGCTGCTCCCAGAGCCTTGTGCTGAAGTTGTGAAGCGACACGTCTCCGCTCGCGGCGCCCTGCGGCTCCGCCATCCTGCCCGCCCGCTCGAGCCACAGCACGGAACCGAGCTAGTCTTTTTAAAGCCACCATTTCAGCAAGCACAAGCTTGTCACATTCAGATGATACTGAATTAATAGGTGAGACTTGGTCAGTCCATGCATGTTAATTGTTGAAGTAAAAAAATACTACCATTTGTCAACAGCACCACCTTCCTGGATTAAGGAAGGACAAGCCCCAGAGTCTAGTTCCTCCATGTCAGAGTGTATGGACTGAGAGACCAGTACCCTAGAGAACCTCACAGTGGGGAAGAACATTTGATATGGAATAATTTAAGAATATTTTAAGAGATGACCATGGCGGGTGGTGGGGGGAGCCCAGGAATTTAGAAGCTACATTAGGTTTCAAAACCAAGAAGACAAGCAGATGAGAATAAAGATGAAGCCTTTGACTCTCATGCATTCATATGACCTTCCTTGTGTAACTTCAAATCTGTCTTCAGACCTCACTTCCAGATCAGAGATGATATTTCCAGGCCCCTTACTGTCCATCTGAGGCTGTCCCAAATTCAACATACCCTGAACACTACAGACTTCCTACCCATCTGACTCTATGTCATCGTTCATGCATGAGCGGCAAGGTCTTTGCCCTCAGGAATTTACAGCTTGTGGTGGCTTAAATAAAATGGCCTCCAAAGGCTCAGGGAGTGACACAAGGAGGTGTGACATTGGAGTAAGTGTGGCTTTGTTGGAGGAAGTGTGTCACTGGGGGTGGGCTTTGAGGTTTCCTCCAGCCAGGCCCAGTGTCATTCTCTCTTCCTGCTGCTTCGTGATCCAGATGTAGAACTCCCAGCTTCCTGTACCATACCATGTCTGCCTGTGTGCCACTAAGCTTCCTGCCATGATGATAATGAACTAAACTTCTGAACTGTAAACCAGCCCCAGTCAAATGGTTTTCTTATAAGAGTTACCGTGGTCATGGTGTCTCTTCACAGCAATAGAAACTCTCACTAAAACACAGTCCATATTCAGCTCTACTGGGAGCCATTCCCCTGCTCCATCTACATAGTTCCTGTTAGTCTGTCAGTTGTTAGATTTCATATTCATGGATTGGTTTTTTCTTGTCTCTGTGCCTCTCTTCTCCCACTGACTTTATTCAGTGGCTTCCTTGTGGCTCCTCAGAATATTCTCACATTCCTTCTCTTGATCTTATGTTCTGTCTCTTGCTTGATACACAGATTTCAAACCCATTGTCTGTCTCCTCAAGGATACTTGAACTCCCTGGGTATTGTCACTATAATATATATTATCACTGTCTTTATTACTCATTACTATAATCAAGCATCTTCCACAGTGGCAATCAGTAAACCTTAGTTGAATGAATAAGAAGAGAAATTTAAAAGCTCGGCATGGTGATATAGGATTGTAATCTTGCTGCTTTGGCGGTGGAGGCGGGAGGTACAGGAGTTGATGGTCATCCTTGGCCACCTAGGGAATTTGAGGACAGCTTGAGCTATGTGAGAGCCCGTCTCTGAAAACAACTAATCGAGAGTACAGACAGATTGAATCATGCATTGGTAATATGCTTAGTGAAGATAGTACAGTTTCAATGGAAGCCCCTCCTTCCCTGTACTGGGCCTCGGTCTCCCCATCTTCATAGTGATAACCGTGCCTTCTAAGGATGGGCCTTAGAATTTGATATAGACCGGATGAGTCACAATCATCAGACCAAACACCTGGCTTGTCTGTTAGACGCCTCTTGGTGCCCTTGCCTTTTTGGATATCAAGACCTGAAGAGGACCTCACTGTGAGCCCCAGCTCTGAAGAGGGCATGCTTATCTTTAAATATCGATGAGTTTCTGCTTCCTAAAGAAACCACTTGTGCGGAACCAAGGGCAAAACAAAATCGGTGACCTTGGATTACCCTTGTTGTGGTGTGTTTGGCTTTCAGTGTGTCTTCATTTACATGTAACTTTTTTTCAAACAAATCATTATATGGAATCTAATATTCAAGTTTTCAAATCTAATATTTCAAACTGAGGTTTTCCTTGTTTGGGATCTAATTTAATTAGAAAATATGAGGCCCCATGCATTAAAATGTTATGCTGTTACTTCTCTGAATGACTCTTTAAAAATGGATTTTGACATTCTGGATAATTTCAAATATTTCAGGGAATTATTAATACCAAGCACAAATGTTATTTTTCAAAAATTCTCCCTGCCTGACAAGAATTCTGTCCACAGTGAGTTCTGCATTATTCATTCTGATTTCACTTGTTTTTCTCTCTCAGGACCCAGAGCTGTGTGTGTTTGCTCGTTTACTCATTCAACGCGGATTTTAGGAGCATTTATTTGATGGCAGGTGCTGTATTATTGCAGGTGTCATGGAGGAGACTAAAGCTCTAACCCCCCGGCCTTTAAAGGCTACTGATAGCGCAGAGTTAGAGTGAGTGCCTCCATTAGGGTAAAGGTGGGTAAAGCAAGTCACAGATCTCATTTTCCAAGGCTAGAAATAGCAGGCACCTCGTTTGCTACTTCTGACCTTTGGAATTCTTTTCACGTGTCAATAACTAATCTCAGCTGAATGCTCACCCTCTGCCTCAGACACTGAACTGCAGAAAGCTACAACTGCTTTTCTCTGCAGTGGGGTGCAAACTGTCATTCACACAGGGAATCTCGCATATCTAGAGCTGCACATGCCAAGTTCACAGTGATAAATCAGCTGTGACTGAGCACAGCCTGGTGAAGATCTAGGAGGTGGATGAGTCAAGCATGGACTTCTGGTTGGAAACCTGGGAGTGAGGCAGCACAGACACACCCTCACTCTCTCCTCTCCAGCCCTCTGGAACTGCTGGACTTCAAAGGAGAGAAATATGAAGGAGAAGAAAACCAGGAGAGAGATGCTTGCTGGTAACCAGGGAAAAACAAAACAGACAGACAGACCAAACCAAACTAAAGACAACAAAAACTGCACAAAACCTATGGAAAACCACAAAGCTGGAGTGCGGATGGCCTCGGCATGGCGTTCTTAGTTCTGGAGTCAGGAAGTATCTCTGGAAGCCGGCTCCCTGTCTGTGGATTGTCTCATTACAGGCAAGTGAGCCAGGCGGTAAGCTAGGTAAACCTAGTCTGCCCAGAACAGAGTGGGGCTGCAACTTAACCTTATTCTCAGCTGGAAAATTCAGTTCGTTCTGGAGCAATACAATGCTGAGTCTTGCCAAAGTCTTGTTTTTGTCACACGCCATGGTAAAAACCACCCCGGACTCCAGAAGCTCCACAGTTATCTCCTGCACATCAGCCTTTAACCTAGGTACCGCTTGAGGAGACCGTCCCATTAAAGCCATCCCACCCTGCATTCTTACCAACTGATCAGGTAATTGGTGAGTCACAGGTTAACTGAAACCAATGTGACTACCATTTTTATGGTACTATGTTGATATATATATATATATATCCTCTGTTGCATTTAAGCGACTACCTGCCAGGAGGAAAGATACCTCAGGCTTCTGCTCATCTAAGAGTCTCCCAGTGTCACATGTGGGGCGTCAGTGGTTGCCTCTCCCTGTGGTACTGATATCTAGCAGGTTTTTCAGAGACAGAAATGGTGAGACCTCTTTGGATCACTGGACTGACAGGCCATTGGTGATCTAGTGGCTCAGTCGGTGTGTACGATGTCATTGTTCAGCCTTCTACTTCACAACCCACACACGCAGTAAACAAGCAGAATAAGCTGCACCCTGAAAACAACCCCGCATTGTACTACCGGAGAGGTAGAATATTCCAGAACAGAACACATAGAGGTATAGCATTCTGCCATCTGGCAGAGCTGCCGGTCCAGATGGATTTGCTAATGACTTCTCTAAAGTATTTAATCAGACTGTACTGAAAAACATGACTGGCATATTTAATTATCCTAAGTTAATGGGAGTCCTGCCAGATACACCCCTCAGTACGTGAGTCAGGCTTGTGCTTGAGGAGGGGAGAAAACATGAATTGTGCCAGAAAGCTGGGGTTTGCATAGACCCCTCATTAGAGAGACTTCTCATTAGTAAATTGTGTATTGCAGTCTTGGCAGGATTCCTCCTTTCTCAGAGAGTGTGCTGTGAGACTAGCCATGTTGATCATACTCATTTTATCAGTAACAATTACACTGATGAGAACATCTGGGGATTGGTCATCCGAACTCTTTCCTACTTCCTGCCTCTGTGGATGACTTCTAAACTGCCAGATGGCCTCTCTTTGACATATGTATGTGGTTTTTGGTCCTCATTTTTAGTTACTTAGTGTTTGTTTGTGTCAAAGTATTATAGATGCGTAACTAAGATGCTGGAGAAACCCCATAGCACCCTTTCCCAGCACCAGTCCATCATCCCGAAGAAACGGGTTATTGATTGTTCTCTATTGATTGTTCTCGGCAGTGTTTGCCTCCAAACCAGCTGCTTGGTATGGCTTCCCACCGACTTAGGCACGCCTGCTTCCTATTAAGGTGCTTGAGGGTGTTTCCCTTCTTTTTGTTCTCCAAAGAAAGCATTTTACAATGATCAACACTCACTCTGCAGTTTCAAGTTCTGTCTTTTCCTTCTTCTGTCTTTTCTGGTTGTCATAGGAGTAGGCGGGCTTCCTTATGTATGCGCACTACGTTTTCTTTGTGCGCCTATCCACTAATGGAAACCTAGGCTGGCTCCGAACGGTGACCGTTGTGAATAGTGCAACAGCAAAAGCAGCTGTGCAAGGGTCACTGTGGTGTGCTGACTTGGGTCCTCTGGTGTGTGCTCAGGAGTCAGTGAACATGCTCGCGTTCTGTTCTCCAGCTTCTAAGGAACCTCCAAGCTGACTTCCGCAGTGACGGTACAACTTATGTTCCCACACGGGTTGCCCTTCCCCTTGTCTGCACCAGCGTTTGTTGTTGCTTCCTCAATGATGCCCTGCTGAGCTGTTTGAGACAGAATCCCAGCACTGTTCTGATTTGCATGTCCCTAAGGATGCTGAATGGTTTTTAGGTATTTGTTGGTCATTTGTATTTCCATTATATGATTGT